AAAATCTCGTGTCATGCAACTCATAAGATTGTCTTTATTTTAGCTGTAATATATAAATTAGTATATTAGTATATTGTGACCAATCCAATAAATATTACTAAAATTAAAATGAAAACAGCATTTTTTTAATCTTTTCAGAAAATTTTATTTTGTATACATAGTCATTAATCTATTCTAATCCTCGTCACTATTTTCTTCTATAGTTATAGTCACATTTGTGGTATCAAATATATGTGTTAAGATTTCAGCAGGCCTAATAATTTTTTATTTATAACGGGCATAAGACGAGTAATAAATTAATGAGGCTACATGTGAGCAACAACCTACTGTTCTATTCCCATTAGTACAATCACATGTGTATCTTCTTATACCCTTATAGTTATTCATGTTTGGTTCATATTCAATGAAACATTGATATGTTTTGCTATTGATATGTCGGGAACAAACTTTTATCCTTAATATATTATCATTTTCTTTTAAGTACTCAATATTATCATTATTGTCACTGTCTATTAACTCAGCGAGGTAACACACCGCTTGCGACATTTGATATGTTCCTGTAAATAATATTTTAAGATCGTTTTCAGTTAACTCTGGAAAATCTATGAGGGATGTAGATGATAGTGTTGTAAAAGGTTTTTTTTGGCTACTAAGATTTTCTGTTTCACCTAGATCTTTTAGTGTATTTTTTGTATTTCACGTCCTCTCATTAATAAATTATGGTATCAGCAAGTTCTAAATCTGAGTTCAACTTATCTTTTTATCTTTATATATAAATATCTTATCTTTTTATATAACGTCTGTAAGTGTAATACGTCAGTTAAAACTTACACAAATATTGTAACTTCACAAAGATCTCACGCATAACTGTCGTGGTATATTCTAAAGTTCTAACAAGTATCAGTTCACAATACTGTACCTAGCAACATAAAATGATTATTTTGAATATGATCCACTCATCGCAGATCTATGTTACTGCTATGCATTGTAGCTTAAGACTCACTGATTATACGTGATTTTTTTGGTTAGTGTATCTCGAGAAATTGCCACAAAAAACCACCCTTTATTTTTTCAATTATTTTTTTCTCACTGTTTATATAGTTGAAAAACTATGAAAAAAATATGCAGTATAATTCTTATTAGTAGCTTTCATATGCCGTTGGATTTATTCAAATATCTATCATAGTTTTATAGGAAAATGATTTTGAAGTTAAGAGTTGCAACCCCATTTTTTTAAAAATGAGCAAAGATAGAGCTCTGATAATTGGTCAAAAGTTACTTCTATCAACGAGCAACACACTGAAGACACCATTGCTAAAAAACACGCTTATGCAGATTTCACGTGGAAACCCGGTGAGACCCTTTGAGATCCATGGCCAACTTTGTGAGTACATAATAATAAAAAAACCAGAAAAGTACCGAAAGTAACTCTAACTAACTAACGTCTAACTTTTTTATTTTAAGAGATAGAGAAAACTTATTTAATAAAATTTCATGGCAAAATTGATATCTTTCACAATTTTTTGATGTAATGTATGTAATTTGCTGCGCCCTCTACGCGGTCAAAAAAAATCATCGAAGCAGGCTGTGTATACAAAAATTGCTTGTTTTTTCTTCTTTCATGCGATGTACTACAAGTCGCCTTTATCTTTTATATTTATTACATTTTTTATAATTTTGTTATCAAAAAATGTAGATTCATGTAGAAATTGTTTTAAACATGCTAACTACAAAAACTTTTATGAATATAATGTATTTCTTTTAAGCAAAGAATCTACAATATATGGCACCCATCAGTTTGCCGTCATAGAAGTAAGGTCGTATGATTTTGGTATCAAGAATCCTAGCCCAAACATTTACTGAAAACCTGCAGTTTCTTCTTGCCAATGTAAATCACCATTGGTCCATTTGAAGTAAAAAAAGAAACAATGAAATATTTTATTAATATTTGGTAATCTTTCTATTCTGTCGAGTGCTACAATTTGCAAATGATAACAGATGGTTCATGTTTTCATTAATAAGTATTTAGTTGTACTTATGGTATTCAAAATAACATTCTACCTATATAATATTTTTGGCCTTCTAGGCAGAAAATAAAAGTAAAGACTAAACATTTAGGTAATTTTCTTGCAATTTCATATTAATATAAAAAAACTGTTGAATCTTGCGGAGATGTAAAGCAAACTTTTTCTGACTACTACAATATACAAATAGCACCAAAAAGTGTTTTCAATAAAGTTACACTAAATCAAAATTATCACATTTAAAAATTATTTTTAAGTGGCTACAAAGGGCGCCTCATTTTTTTCGATGTTACTTAACATACGTTTTTAAATTCCTTGCTGAATTTGAGAAATACTTTGATGAGCAATGTTGGATGTAGATGCACCATTTCGATTTCATTGCATTTGTGGCATTCTGGAAAATTCAAATATCTTATCAGTAAGATGGAATTTCCACCACTCATTCGAGTTTGTGCATTCGAGCATGAAAAAAATGTTTCTTGCATTATTTACTTTATACATTTCGAATAAGGAAATAGTAATTACGGGAGTTCCAAGAAGTTCCGTGTTTTGATTCATGGAACACCTGACTTTTTTTAAAATGATTAAATTTGAGAGATCAACAGAAATAAATATATTAAGGTCCTTTGATTAGGTAGCTGGATTTCCCGATCTAATAAAATCTGACATATAACAAGTTAAATTTATTCTTCGTCTTCCACAATCTGTAATAGTATGGGCGTATTAGGTCTTTTTTCAAAAATCGTATCTAACTCAAATTTTATGGGCTTAAAATTAAGTAAAATGATACACAGAATAAAAGCCCAAATTTGTGTATTTGTAAAGGTCGAGCGTCATATTGTTTCTAATCGACATGAGGTATACTTATCGATTTTGTTCCAGAGGAAATTTGCTACAAGTATAGGTTTTTGCGAAAGCTCGCCAAATTTTTTTTACTTGCAAAATTAGCGGTGAAGAAAAAAAGAAAAATTTTCAAAAATAATTAAATAAAAAGAACGAATTTGACTGAACTACAGGAAAAGATAACTGTTGGAGTGCTCAACAAATACCCGCAATCCGGACCCCCAATTTCAAAATGTCGACCTACTGCAAATTTATGAAGAAAATGCGAGAGTGTATATTTTTGAAACAGGCATGTGTTTGGCCTAATTCGTCCGTGTTGTCAATTTTTGTATTTATAGCAATTTCAACCAAGAATAGACTTACCTTCTGATAGACGTGAAGTACTGATCTAGAAAGTCCTTCGCCTGCTTCAAAACTTCTGATGGAGTTCTGAGTTCATTTCTGCCTGGTTGGGCCATCATGCTGCCCAAACATACTTGATTTGAACATGTTGTATTCTGGAAAAAATATACATGTTTAGTTATACTGAAAGGAACAATCCCTTGAAAATATTTAAAGAAAATTCGAATCCACTCAATAGAAACTCATCCGTTTTTAATAAGAATACATAAATATTTTCAATTTTTGTCTCAGAGAACCAGTAATTCTGGGAATTCGGAGAAAATCACAATTTTGAATTACTTTTGCACCAATCAAGGAAATCTAGGGTTAGTTGATGTAATCGTTGGCAGTGAGTGCATCCATTGCGTATATCTGTTGTAAAAACATATTGATGAACACTAAACATTTAGTTGTCACGACAAAATTAGTAAAGTCTAACAGAAACAACCTTAAAGAGGATTTTTTAATAGGAAGTAGAATGTATTAATAATATCTTTGCAATAATAAACACAGAAGTACCAAAAGAAATTACCACTTTTCGCAAAAAATGAAAATTCACTCAGTCCAGTAATTCGTGATCATCTTTTCCAAATTGTATTTATTGAAAATGCGTATCCATAAGTCACCACATGTTACAGCTAGTGTAGAATAGACTAAGGTTGCCTAAGGGAAATAATCACTTCTGTTTAGGTCTGATGATCCCGGTGATCAATTATTTTCCTATTCTATCTGCTTATTTGGAAATAGTGAATTTAAGAAATCTCTCATAATAGCACTAAAATAAGGTGAAGCCCCAGTATGCATAAACCAAAGTTGAACATAAGATTCAATAACTTAGAACAAACTGACTTTCTGATAATTCCCAATGTTAGAACAGCATCATCAAATAATCCTGATTTTTTTGAAACTGGTGAAAGAGTAATCATATTGATCAAAGCTAATTATCATCTGCGATATCTCAGTGACCTTGGACTCATGGTCACTTTATAATCCTTAATATATCTAAATTGTATGCCAAAAAGGTCTATAACTCTGTCTGAGTTCTTAATATAGTTTAGCTTGAGGTTGATATTTTGCAACATGTCGCAATTAAACTAAACCAAATGTCATTATTCCAAAACAGTAACCTAAGAACAACTTGATGCACGTAAGAAATTATTTAGTAAAAAGCCTAGTAGGAATAATAGTAAGAATTAGTGAAGCAATTTTACACAAAACAGTAAAATCAAACATTGTCTACAGTTTTCTTCGTACAGATTTCAGTATCCCATTTATCCTAATAGGTAGCAAGATCACAGAACACTATACAAGCTGTTACAAATTCGCTTCTTACTACAGGGATCTCGGAAGCGGTAAGAGGTACTACTCATGTTAGCCTTGATTTTTTGGAGGCATAATGTTGGTCCCATGATTACGCAACTTTGCCCCCCTTCAAGCTAGTTCGTACCTCTTACCGTTTCCGAGATCCCTGTAGTGAGAAGCGAATTTGTAACAGCCTGTATATATTTTGATAGGTGTTTTATGTTTTTAAGGTTTTTAAGTAAATTGTCGCAGAACAAAGTGCTTAGGGTTACCACTACTGGCTCCTCTATTCTACTTCTGTCTCCTATTGTTGCCACGATTGGAGAGAAATATGAAAATACAAATTCCAATACTCCATTTTTACCAAGTAAACATATTTGTGGGTCTACTACTTCAAATATTGTTTGTTTATAAGCTTTCAAAAGCCCGTAGAGGTATTTCAGCTCCGGTCTGAAATATACCTTTAAATATTTATCGACATACCCCATTCGCTTTGTTCGCATAAGTGCGTAGCCCAGCCTGTACTTCGCAATATAATGATTCTTGAACTAGAAAAGTCGCCCTTTGAAATGGCTCTGAGGGACTCGGTTATAAATTAGTCAGGACGAAAAAATACGCTGCGCAAGAAGCCAGCTCTACAATTTGCAAAAGTTTTAGATCAAATATTTACTGAAAAGTATGAGGACAAGAGAAAGTCATCCTTTACTTAACACATGCTCTTGCCTTTCGTATTTTTTCTACTGTGTATCCTTTTTATATCAGAAGTGGGATTTGCCAATATCTTTCTTTGAAAGCTACCTAAGTGTATTGTAAATGATGACTTTCTGCGAACACCACCTTCGTGGTACAAATATTCTAAGCTTGCTGTTCCCCTTGTATAGTTCATTTAAGGCCAAATTATTTCGGATATCTTCGGTTTAAAGCTTCGATTGAAATTCAAATAGTTTCGTTCCATATTAATCCGACTTCCTTTTAACTACGGGTCCGGTTTTATCAGGGAAAAAGTGAATTTTCTGTAGTCCCAGGTGAAACGTTAATCAAAGAAGGGTTTAAAACGGGGATGAAGGCAGTAAATTTATATTTACATCCTCCCTTTGAGGGGCCAGTGAAGGGATGCATGCAAAGACCGAGATTGAGTTTTTAGTAGGCTTGGTTACAGGGAGATTTCTGAAAAATTGTATTTCAACGTTTATTTTTGACGGTATGAAAATTATACAACGATAAATCTTTAATATATTTCATTTTAATGTGAAATAAGAATTTTTAGTACTGTTTAGATACACTGCAAACATTTATAGATGTATTTTTTTGTCCAATTCTTACTGAAAATTACTGTAATTTGTTACAAGCCGATAATAATAATAAACCTCGTAATAAACTTCATCGCACTGTCAGCAAATGTTGTACAATATAATTCACTCTTAATAAAAATGTATGTAAAATAAATACCCTATAAGCTGCAGGATATAACTCCTAACAAAAGCATACATTATACAGTGTCTTCATAAATGCTCAAGTCCCACGTGACAGCGACTGTTAGGCAACCAAACTTACAAGGGAGTCAATGATTAACATAAAATTCCCCAAGGATAGATGGATAGTCCAGTGGAGACATATTACATTTCTTTACAAACATTGAACTTTAATCTTTAAAATGCGATACTTTTTTCAATGGAAAAAAATAATTTTTTACATTTTTATTTGCAAAATAATCATACTCCTCTAAGTTTTATCCCATTATACAGGGTGTCCCAGGATATCGTGTACAACGGAAGACCACAGATTCGTGGACTCAAAATAGACACATTTAGACTAATTCACCTATATCCGAAACAGATTAGTTTGGTCGCTAGATGGCCGCAAAGTTCGTGAAAATTTTTTGAATTTTGTAAATAACTCGATTTTGATTGTTTTTGTGGCGTTGACTTTTGCTTTCAATTTACAAATTTTGATGTTATTCAGAGTGTTTTTTAAAACTTCCGACTCGTACAAAATTGATGTATCTATGTACCCGCTCATTTTATCAAAATTCTACAAAAGGCCCAAAACTTCCAAATGGTATAATCTATCAAATAAAAAATAGTTGTCATTATTGCTCGATAGAGAAAAAAGTTATGAACGGATATTTTCACCATACATCAATTTTGTAGATGTTGTGAATTTTAAAAAACACTCTGTATAACACCAACATTTTTAGATTGAAAGCAAAAGTCGACACCCCGAAAATAATCAAAATGGATTAAAAATTTCTACAAACTTTGAGGCTATCTATCGGCCAAACGAAACGATTTCGGATATAGGTGAATTACCCTAATTCTGCCTATTTTGACTCCATGAATCTGTGGTCTTCCGTTGTACACGTTATTCTGGGACACCCTGTATATTGAAAAAGTATTTTTTGATTGAGGAAGGTTAAACTTTAAAAATATAGGCACTACTTATTACAGCATTAACATTCCGTTATAAATGGTCTGGTGGCATGACTCTAATTTGTTCAATGCTGAGAATTAATTCCTACTGGTAGGACCAAAAGTTATGCACCAGTTACAGTGATGTACCGAATTTCAGATGGTGATAATGTTGATTTCATAATATAATATGATATAAATTATATATAATTAATATTTATTAAACTTTTTCTAATAACAAATTTAAATAAACAAAAGAAACACAAATTTTACAAGAATAGGAAGAATCACCCTGTAGCGCAGCTACCTTGCATTAAAGGGAGAATCGGATTATCTGGAAAACGAGAAAATTACTGCAATTTTTTTCTCGAGACTAGCAATTATAGCAAAATTACTTTTGTAAATATATCTGGAGAAAAGTATTTAAAAAATATATTAAAACATATTTCTTCAAACTTTTGTACACATGTTTCAAAAACATTTCTAACTATTCTTTGATAATAATTATTACACAAACGCCCATTGCAAGCGTCATATGTTTGCGCCGAAAATATGCTCGCGCTACTAAAAAAAGTCTTTATAAATTTTGTACCTTCTACTTTTTTCATTCGTTCATTATTACTAGGTGTGGGCACGTATAAAGGTTTTATCCTCCTCAATTTATTTTCGCACCTACAAGTATTTCTCTTTTACTTCTTCTTGCCACTATTTCTGCTTTTCACCTAACAATGCAAGACCTACTCTATTCTTACATCTATTACTGTATTAGCTTTGAAATTCATTTCCCAATTTCCCGGCGTCAAAAATCTCATATTTGTTCAGCTTTTCTTATACGACATTTGCTGCAATTACATGTACTGCAAACTTACGCCATATTTATAATTTCCTTTGATATATTTTCCCAACATCTATAAACCATCTCTCCAAACATTTATCAGATTCGCATGTGCACTGATACGAATATATTACCCCTTTGTACTATCTATATTCATAAATACAAAAACGTCACATGAGCAAACTAGAACAAAACCATCAATAAAATTTGTGAGATAGCATACAGCAATGTAAATTATGAAAAATTGCGCGTCAGACATTAACAATGGTAGCACATTTGTGGCAGAATATTTTTATTACCATTAAATGCGATAGGCATAAAATACCGCGTTTTTAATACCTGTTTTGTGGTTGTTTTACTAACATAAAATCAGGGTTTTAAAAGTTTTTTAAATAATATTAGAAGCAATTGGATTCAAATAGCAACTTTTTTTCCTCATAATTCGAATAGTCCTTTACAAAATTAATTTTATGTGATATCCAACGTAGATTCGAATATATTTTTAGATAAATCGCAAGGTATTCGCCCTGTAAGTGTCCTCGTGTATCCTTAAGGATAAAATGAGGTGTAA